GTCTGTAGACTGAAACTTGTTTGAAAGGTCATGATTGATCTTGCCATAAATTTGGGAAGGGAAACCGGTAATTTAGATGACTGGATTTTATTTTATGAAGGAAGTAATATTCCAAAATAAAAGTTATAGAGCACGTGAAAGAAATCAGACATCATTTCTCCTTAGCTTTATTGCCTGTAATATTCCTTGTATTTTTCTATCTGAATTCAAAGGAATAAGAATAGAATCACATTTGGAAAACTCCCGCAAGTGCATGGTTATTCAGAGATGAGGCCATGCATTATTGAAAAACCACACACACACACACACACACACACACACACACACACACACACACACACAAAATTATCGTTTCTCTTTATTGTGAAATAAATAAATAGGTAATAAGTCTGCCCATATCTAGCTATGCTGCTTTCTTGTGATTCCTAATATTGTTTTCATAAACACTGTTTTAATATGAAACAAAGACTTAGGAATTTAGTAATTGTGGAAAAAAATACTCAGATATTTTTCCCCATCTGAGGAATTAGTACATTTCAGTGGCTTGCTCAACCATCTGAAAGAATATCTAGGGAAGCATTACCCATAAAAGAAGCAGTGTGGTAACAATTAACTATTGCTTTTCCAGTAGACAAGCATGTGAGCTGTCTGCAAAAGGAAATTGATGGGCCAGCGCGGATACAGAGGACTTGTTCAGGGACAGTCCACAGTCAGTCACTCTCTGCTCTTAACCTCAGTGTAGGAAAATGGCAAGAAGGGACCTGGCTCTGATGTAGTGCTGATTTCTGATGTTAATGATTCCTTGGGGAATGCTCTTCTCCCCTGGCAGCTGCTTTTGACTCCCTTGTCTGTGAAAGATCCAGTCTCCTAGTTGGAAGGGCTCTCTGGGCATGTTTTTAGCAAAAGGCAGAAAAAGAAAGACGCTCGCGAAAACCACTTCTAAAAGCGAGAATGAGTTGCATGGCTCCTGGACACAGAGTGGGAGGCCCTTGGGTTAGTTCCTTGGCACCTTGCTCCAAACGTTCTATTTAGAAAATGTAGTCAAAGTTCTACTCAAAGGAAAAAAAAATTCAAGACACTCCTGTTAGTTTTGTTCCACTTCTTTGGAATCAGGTATCATCTGCTTCCCTGCGCTTCCTCTGTTCAGAAGAAACTGCCTGAGGTAAACGCGTTTTTTAGGCTACTACCCAGCGTGTGGTAAATACAGAAGATGTGTTTTCCTTCCTAGGAAAAGTGAAGTATTCAATTCTAATTTTCCTCTTCAAAATAGAAAGAACTGGGCCAGCAGGCCAGCTCCGTAGGTCACCATCCACACACAGGATGTGGCACATGCTCACCCCCATAAGAAATAATGTAAATAGAAATAACTTGATTGCATTTCTGCATAGTCATAAAGACAATAGGTTATTGGTTGAAAATATTTGAGTGAATCTTAAGAAACTAATGGCTATTACAGGTATGGTAAGCTAAAGAATCGAATGTATAAAATAGTACTAATTAAACAACATCCCAACTACACACTAGTGTTCTGTCAGCAAAAAGAAAAAAAATCTTTTAATCCAAAAATACATCATGAAAGCTTCATCATTTGTCCACTCAGAAGAGTTACTGTATTAATTTACTAGCCCCTTTTTTAGTTTATACTTAGTGGTTATATGTAATATTCCAGACTAGCCCCTGTGACATTCATACAGCTTTTTTTTCCAGTTCCGAGACAAAATGTCCTCAAAATTTTCTTGATTGACTATCAGCAACATGAAATTCTTGTCTCTTGATGTTAAGCACAAGTTACAATAAAAATAATTATGACTTTATTTTCAGGGGCAAATCAAGTGAAATATTATGCCATAATATGAAATATTATTATGCCAGTGTTTCACTTGTGGCAATGGCACATGGCTCTTTTTTTAAGGAATAAAAACATTTATTATAAATTTTAATCCACTTTGATTTTCATCCTCCTGTTACCGCCAAAGGCTGAGAGGATAAGACTGTGCAGTTTCCCTCCCCGCAGTGGGTAAGAGCTTCCTAAACCTTGGCTGGGCAGCACTATAGCGCTGGCCCTGAGGGTGTGAGAGTGGGAGAGCTGGTCCCTCCCCCTCCTCTGTTATAGTGGTGAGGGGTAAGGGAAAGATGCCCTTCCCTCTCACCCATTGCCACCTGCAGCAGGTGAGGGAGCCGACCCTTCTCCTTACCCGCTATAACACTCTTGAAATTGGGCTAAGCACCTTGCCTGGGCAGCACAGGAGGGGTGACCATGTTGACTGGGGCACTGGTGAGCAGGCCCCGAGAACTTGAGTGTGGGACATCTGGCCTTGTCCCTCATCTGCCATATAGTGGCATGGGGAGGGAGAGATTCCCCCCTCACGCCCCACCCCACCCCACCCTACCCCCTACCTACCCCCACCCTTCTACCCCTCACTTCCACCCCCACCCTCCCCCCACTCCAGCGTCCCTCAAAAGCTGTAGCACTAAGGAGAGTGACCCCTGCATCTTACCTGGGCGACACAGTAGAGCTGGCCCTGGTGGTGTAGGTGTGGATGAGCCGGCCCTGGGGGCTTAACAGCAGGAGAATAAGCCCCGCCCCTTGCTTCTTGCTGCATTGGGTGAACTAGCCTGTGCTATGCTGGAGAACTCACCCTGGTGGGGAGGACGGGGGAGAGCTGGCCAGCTAGCCAACTCTGCAACTACCCAGGCCCAGAACCAGGGATATGAATTGGCCCACACAACATCCATCCCACCCATGATCCGCTGGAGTACTTGAAGGGGCTGGTGGTCCTATAGTTCCAAAGCTGCAGGATCTCCATGGGCAACAACAGGTTATCCAAGAGGAATTCCAGTGAGGGCCCAGCATGGATAGTGTAGCAGAAACCAGAGACCTTGAACCAGACTGTTGACTCTTTGCAAGGAACATTTGCAAGTAAAGATTAATGGACTAAAGGGCAAAACTCACTGTGTCACACTACAGCTCATAACAAGATTTTTATTTTTCTTTTATTTTGTTTTCCTCTTTTTTTCTTTTCTCTTAAATTTTGTTATTAGGGGAGGTTGCAAGGGCAGAGAGCAGATACTAAAGGACAGGGAGATGAATGGGATTGAGATGTATGACGTGAAAGACACAAAGAATAACTGAAAAGTTTTTTTTTTTAAAGTTGATGTTGAAGTTGCATGCATGAAAAGGGGCCATGAAAATCTGATAAGTGGGATGTTGCCATTCTTACCTAACATCTGCTTGTGAGCCTTGTTCATACTGGTGTAGTCACTTCAAGGATCCAGACCCTAGATCAATCACTTCCATTGTGATGTTCTAGAAACTGAAAGAATTCTATCACTCTCGTTAGCTGAGTCTCATTTGTAAAACACTAAGCATATGAAAAACGGACACTTACTTGCTCTCCTTGTCCTCTCCATCTACCGCTCTGCATGATTTATGACTCAAATAATTTACCAGAGAAATTATTCCACATTCACTCTGTAAGCCTTGCATTGTGACTTTAGATCTCTGTAGGCTTATATGATCAAGTTTCATTTCACATGCTCAGTTTAGAGGTGATCACACTCTGTGATTTCAGCCCCCATAATACACCAAAGCATGTGAGCACAGGGGATTATTATGGACCTGACTCTGTCACCAAGGCATTCATTTAGTTGGTATTTGAAAGCTAAAGCTGAGAACATCTCCAAAACATGGAAAGTGTATTCATTCCAGAGTGACTTTGTGAGCTACAAAAAGGATACGTGTCCGTGGTATTAGTGTTACCTGTTTGGATCCCACCTCTGTTTTCCTCAGACATCTCTAGTTACAGTTGTATTTGCCTTGAAAAGCTAAGTGTTTTTTATCCTACATGGCCCAGAGATATAAAATGACAATCAAGAGAAGACATTTGTGCATTGGTTCTGGTTTGTCTCCCTAATATGAGCTATCTGTCCTCATATGTATTTCCCCTACCTCCAGTTGTCTTTGCTCTTGGGCAATGAGAAGGATTGTATTTCTCTTCCTTCCTTCCTTCCAGAAAAGCCTCCTTTTGGTTAGAGTCCAAGATTATTAAAAAAAAAAAAAAGTACATATAGTACACAGTGACATCGATTACTGGATAAGTGATAACCCCAGAAAAATAGGCCCAAGGACATACTCAAGCAACAGCCATGTGTGGAATATTCATTTACACTGCGTAAATATATGTCTGTGATTGGTTTAATAAAGAAGCTGACTGGCCAATAGCTGGACAGGATAAGGGTAGGTGGGAGAACCAGACTAAGAACACTGAGAATAAGAAGGGAAGAGTCAGAGCAGTCACCAGCAATACACACAGAGATGTGCAAGATGAAAGAGAGGTAACACTATGTGGTAGAATGCAGATAAATAGAAATGGGTTAATTTAAGTAATAAGAGCTAGTTAGTAATAAGCCTGAGCTATCAACCAAGCATTTATAATTAACATTAAGTCTCCATGTTGGTTATTTGGGAACTGGCAAGTGGGAAAGAAAAGTCTGCCTATAGCCATGTCTAATACTGTGCTGCCTAAATATGCAAACAAGTAAGTGGAATAAATGACACATCAGAAAATATCTAATAGATTCTTAAGTGAAAAAAATATAGACAGTAAAGGCAAAGACACAGCTCCTGGTAACCTAGTGTGATCATGATTATTAGAGGAAATAAAATACATCTCTGTTAGAAACAAACCCTCTGTCTTAATCACCCTGACAACACATATTCATTGTTCATAGCATAAACAGTGATGGAAAACCAGCAAATTGAGAAAAGAAGCCCATCTTCCCTCTTACTTGCCATGGGTCTGCTATGGCCTAAGTCATGATCCTGCATTCTTAGCTCGTGGTAGGGTCATCTCATGAGGGTACTTATCAGACTCACTCAGTGGAAAGATAAAGGAACACAATATGGATGAGTCATTTCCTTCCTAACTTTGATCAGTGGGTTAAAAGAGTGATAAACAAGAAAATTACAGTAATTGTGGATTCTGCCCATGCTTTTCTAGATGTGTCCTTCAGCAAGCTGGAGAACTAGACCACCACAAGTGTGTAGTGAGGATGATGCTATTGTCAACCAAATAGCCGGTGGACAGGCTACTAGTAAGTTGGTTTTATTCTTATAGGTCATTTATTTCAGGGATTGTGAATTATTTAATGAGATTCTCTTTAACTTTAAAAATCAGCTCTCACAAGTATACTATCTCAGTTTTTTTTTACTATCTAAACTTACTCCTAACAGAAACCAGAAATTAAAAATAATCTAGGATTATATGAACATCTAGTGGCAGCATAGCTTCATTTTCAATAAACAAATGATTAATCGAGTCACAGTAAGAATTTTTCCAAGTTATTTTAAAATAATTATTAGTAGATATTCTTGCATTTTGTGTTGTTTCTATCAATGTATACATTCTAATTAGTCTGCTTTTTCTACTTAATGATACTTCTACTTGGTGTCTCATGTCCTAACCTAGTTTATACAGCTACTCTTTTGTACAACTAAAAGTACTAGCAGTAGAAATAGTAGTTATGACAGCTAACATTGGTGAAGTCCAGGCACTTATAGTCACTCCATCACACATATTATCTCATCTAATAAACATATCTCAGCCGTTTGGTCATGATTGGCCGTTTTGGGTATTTGTGACAAGTTCTAATTTACTCTTGATACAAAGAGCCATTATACTATATGTATTATTAATTTTTTAATTTGAAAGATTTCAACACATTATTACCTACAGCAGAAAGGAAAGTGGATAGTTTTCTGACTAATGTTCAACAATGTTCCATCTCTGCTCCCTCAAGTAGTGGTTTTAAATGAAATCTGTCATATCTATGCATGTTACAGCTACCTGCTATCCATGTTATTTATATATGATATATATTAAAGCTCTACAAGTTAAAGCTTTGTAACAGGAGAATAGTATATAAGGCTTTTCCATCAACACTCTCCTCCTGCAGACATTCCTCGTACACATGCACTCCAGTCCTGTGTACAACCACTAGACCAAGGGGCATGGATCCTTTAATGACTGTGCAGTGGACACTCAGGTCAATTCTCATGAGTCTAGGTCAACCAAGAAATAAACTATTATGTTACACAACTGAGATTCTGAAATTTCTGGGTTAATTTGTAACTTCATCACAGTGTAGTCTACCATGATTAATACATGTTGACAGCTTTTCCATGTGCTTGAGTTTTTTATACATTTATTAACTTTTGATCACATTTATGTTTGTTAATCTCGGCACTGTTTTCTCTTTTACTTGCAACTTCACTGTTAGGTTGTTTGCTCTTTATTAATATGTAGCAATCTCAGCTGTTATCTATTGTAGGCATTCCAAATGCCCACGTTTTTTATATTGAATTTAGAGCTTTTCATTTATTAAAGTTTTTTTATATTTTTTATTTTTTATTTTTATTTTTTTTTGGTTTTTCGAGACAGGGTTTCTCTGTGTAGCTTTGCGCCTTTCCTGGAACTCACTCGGTAGCCCAGGCTGGCCTCAAACTCACAGAGATCTGCCTGGCTCTGCCTCCCGAGTGCTGGGATTAAAGGCGTGCGCCACCACCGCCCGGCTAAAGTTTTTTTTTTTTAAATATAGTCAAATTTACCAGTCTTTTGATTTTGTGCTTCCCAACATCTGGTCTAAGAAATCTTCATCTATCTGGAACTAATTAACAAAATCCTTTGATTTTTTTTTTCAGAAGTTTTTAAGTTTTGTTTCCCAGATGTGTTTGTCTTAATCTACTTGGTAAAGTATAAGGTAGCAATTTAATTTTGTAAATGAAAATTAATCATCACATATTATAGCAGCTCATCTTCTCCACACAATTTGAAATGTCATTTCTAATGTATCAGTGGATTTTCCTACATCCATTCTAGGTTGTCTTATTTAGTGGCTTCATGAGTAATGTTGACAGCACAGATCTTGACTGTTATTCACTGTGTAAATGGTTTTCATAATTAAATATTGTCAAGTTTTATGAGAATATTTTTTAGACTGGGCCACATGTTGCTCAGCCTGGCCTCAAACTTGCTTTGTAGCTGAGGATAACTTGAACTCCTGATCCCCGCTTCACACACCTGTACATCACAGGTGCTGGGATTACAAGTGTACATCCCCATGCTCAGTTTATGTGATGCTGGTTATTAAATCCAGGGCCTCATCCTCACTAAGCTGAGCTTCATACCTAACTCAAGAAATTTTATTTAAAATTTACATTCAACTGATAGGTTGATTTTATGAGAATTCATTTCTTATTCATAACTCATGTCTAATTCCTCATTTGCTCAAATCCTCTTTAATTCAGGTGTGTGTGTGTGTGTGTGTGGTGTGTGTGTGTGTATTATGTATAATTATCTTCAGTGTCCTAAGCAGTTTATATTTTTAGATATTATAAGTGAAATCTTGTTTTCAAACCTCATTGCTAAACTAGTCCTGAAAATGATTTGTTATTGATTTGATATCTGGAAACCTTGCTATACTTTCATACATTCTAATAGTTTGATTATCAGTTATCATTGACTTCATATGCAACTACATTCTAATAGTTTGATTATCAGTTATCACTGACTTCATATGCAACTATTTGTGTCATCTGGGAATGAAGAACATTGTTCACTTTTAAGCTCTCTTAGTATTCATACATTTACATATTTAATTTTTTTCTATTTTGTTGATAACACTTCAGTAGAATGAGTACAAGTGGTGACAACATCCTTACTTGCTTCCTGATTGTTTTGTTTTGGTTTTAAGAATGAGGCTTTTAGTTTTTTCTTTATTTTTGAAATCTCATACATGTATTCAATGATACATGGTTTTATTTGTCCCCCGTTTCCCTATTTCATCTCTCCCTAATAACATCAGCGTCCCCCTCTCAACTTCATGCTTGTTTGTTTTTGATAGCCTGTTATGTTCAGTCAGTGCTGCCCAGATGTGCACAGACACTGGACCATCCCCTGGAGCATGGAAATCCTACCACTGGCCGCACCCTCCAACAGGAATGATCTTCCTTCTTCAGCAACCATCACCTGCTAATAGCTCCTCAGGAAGAAGTGGGACCTGAGAAGCTCCTCCCCATCTACCGTCTATGCCGCAAGTTTGGCAGGCTTGCTGTCAGGCACATCTTATACAGAAAACCATGGCTACAGTAAGTCCATGAGTGCAGTAGCCGTGCCGTGTCCAGAAGGCAACATTTCTTAGCTTGTCTCCATCCTCCCGCTCTGACATTCCTTTCACCTCCTATTTTATGAGACTCTTCTGAGGCATTGGGGGATGGGGATAATAGGATGCTCTGTTTAGGTCTGAGCACACCATCTGTTAAATAGCCCAGGTCTCTCTCTCTCTTGATGCATAGATAGATAGATAGATAGATAGATAGATAGATAGATAGATAGATAGATAGATAGATGGATAGATAGATAGAGATAGAGAGATAGAGAGATATCACATATTTAGAAAGCATATTGACAAAAATAATCATTTAACCAAACCAAACAAAACAAAAAAACCAACAACAATATCGGGTTCTACCTTAAGGCCTCTGGTTCCCCAGCCCTGCGGTTATTCATTTTTGTCAGCATTTCAGTACCTGTCATGAAATTCTTTCCTATGTACCAGGCATCAAATCCAATCAGAAAACTGTTAGGTACTCCATAGTAGTTGTACCACTATCGCACCAGTAAGCATATTTTGCCTGTCACATCGGTATTGTGTCCTGCAATATCTAGTACTGGGTAAAGAACATTGGTGTCTCTTCTCCCCCAGCAGCCTGTATAACACACTATGGCACTATACTATAAAAGCTAACCATCAAGGAGGAAGTTTTCCGGCGAGTTTGAGATTGATTTTTCTATGTCCTACAGCCAAAGTGTGTGATGTCATCATTAGGTTCTTACCATGTAGGTGGAGTGGATATTTAAGAACAATGACAATAGCCTGTGCTATTTTAGAAATGTCTGGTGCCTCCCTGACCAATGCCTTCTACTGCAAATTTCCTTTAGTTTCTACACAGGAATTTTAAGTGAGGTTATGTTTGTCCTTGTAGTCATCCTCCCTCCGTAGGCCCTAAGAAAGACCTAAACAAATTAAATGACTTAATTGCTTGCTATATTTTATATGAAATTGTATGGCATCAATATATGTGTCTTCACTATCTACTTATTGTGAGGCTTATAACATTTGCTATAGATATTTCATATGTTTGTCTAAATGTCATCTTCCACATCAGTGAAGCTAATAGACAGTTTTGTCTTTTGTTGCAGAAGTTTTCTTAGCAATTCCCTTTAATATTGAATCAAGCCTGCATCATAGGAATAAACCAGTTCTGAGCCTGAAGTTGGTGCATATTTTTATAAAACTTGAAAGCCCTTCATTTCTGTCCCTGAGACCTGTTAAGATTAGAATGGTCATTCCTTCCTTATTTGTCAAAGTGTGCTCGAAACTGTCTAGAGTGAAACTTATGGGTTCATTTGCTTGTGTTGTGATTCTCCATTTGTGTTGGTGTGTTGGTTTTTAAGTAGTGATTGAATTTATTTAGTAGTTGTAAGTATATTCATTTACTACTCTGAATTTACTTTTGTGAATTATGTTTTATAGGAAATTTATCTATTTTTAATACACTAAACTAAGTATGAAATATGTCAGTGCCTGTTCTAGCTGTTTTTAAAGCCACAATTAAACCTTTCCAAAAGAAACTTTGGGTGGACCAGCAAAGGGGCTCAGTAGGTACAGAGGCTTGTGACCAAGCCTGGTGATCTGAGTTCAATCCCTGGAATTCACACAGTAGAAGGAGAGAGTGGAGTCCTACAAGTTGTCCTTTGACCTCCACATGCACACCAGAATACACAGCAAAATATATGAAAAAAAATTAAGGAAATTTATATTGCATTTATGTATTTATGTGTTTATTTGTGGGGTGGAGTATGTGTGTCATAGTGGGCTTGTAGAGGTCAGAGTACAACTTTTGAGAATTAAATCTCTCTTTTTACCACGTGGGTCCAGGGGATCAGGCTTAGTGGCAAGCACCTTTACCCACTAAGCCATATCACCTGCCCTTGTTCTAATTTGTAAAAGCTGCTTCTTACCTTAGTTACAAAATTTCTCATTTATAATGTTGTACTGAGACAGCTAGATGACTCAGGGGTTAGGCTATTATCCTATGAACTTTTTCTTTTCTTCTTTTTCATCTTGATTAAAGACATTAGAAACATCTATTTTTCTTTTTTCACATGTCTGTGATTATGGTATGCATGATGTTCTTGTGGGAGGATTTATGTACATGCACATACACATGATTCAACATGCATGTACAACCCAGAAGTTGATGCTGAGTGTCTTCCTTGGTTGCTTTCCACCTTACATCTTAATGGAAGGTCTCTCATTTGAACCAGAGCTCACCAACTTAGAAATTCTTGGTAGCCAGCTTGCTCCAGTTATCTTCTGTCTTCACCTCCCATGTGCTGGAAATACATGTGGGACAGCACGCCCACTTAGCGTTCATATGGTGTAGAGGGATTCCTAACTCCTGTCTTCACACTTGCACAGTGTGTTGGTCAGTTTTTGTAAACTTAACATAAACTGGAGTCTTCTGAGAAGAGATGTCTCAACTGAGAAAATGCCTCTATCAGATGGGCCTGTCACAAGCCTGTGGGTTATGTCTTTGATTCACAATGGATGTGAAAGGTCCCAGCCCATTGTGGATGGTGCCATCTCTGGGCAAATGGTCCTGGAGAATGTAAGAAAGCAAACTGGATAAGCCAGAGAGAGCAAGCCAGTAAGTCCATGGATCTGGCTAGTTTTCTAACCTCTGAACTGCCTTTGGGCTCAACACCCTGTTGGTATTCAAACAGCTCAGATGGTTGCTTCGATTCTTCCCTAACCCCAAAAAGGCTCCCTACCCTCCTCGGTCCAGTTTCCCCTCACACTCTCTCCAGCTAGGACCAAAGTCAAATGGAAGTGGACAAACGCCCCTCTAATATCACAGGAGTAGTATTTTTTAAAAGTTTATGTCTTGGTCTTTTCACATCCTGATGCAGGTGGATTGTAAGTCATAGGCGACAAGCCTCCGAGCATAATTCACTTCACAATTGCCACCATCTTCCAACTGTGCCATCGAGGTGAAAAAGAAGAGAGAAAGTCTGTGCAGAGTCCACAGGCACTTTACTGTCTCAGCACAGAAATGACACTTGTCCCTTTGGTAATGCTCTAGAAGTCAGTAGCATTCATGAGAAATTGGTAATTATCATTCTCCTACATGCCAATGAAATTAAATAAGAGCTGGACAATAAATAGCATTGTTATTATCACAGCTTACCTTTATGTTCACCAAATACAGGGTTTTTTTCCCTATTCCTCATTTAATGAAAAACCCACACTAAGCTCTCCTCCATACACATGAAGGTTAATTTCCAAAGGATGAATCAATCATTATAAGCAGCGCAAGCTCCAGCATCTCGGGTATGCATAAATATTTCTTCTTGGCCTAGACATCATGGCTTCCTTTGGTCTAAGAATGTGAAATTAAATTGCCTTCCCCTCCTTCCATACACACACCCATATTCAGAGGGATAGTGCAAGTACATTGAGTCCTGCTCGTACTCCAGCATGTACACATGCCCAGCACAGAAGAATGCTGTTGGCTAGCCCCAGATTGCTTTATGTGAACAAACCCATTCTCTATTTTCTCTGGCCACTGCCCTTAACCTCCGAGAATCTCCTACTTGTTATTCCCTGGAAATGTGCAGAGAGGTGTGTCTTGCCTAAACTATGCAACCTGCCTTCCATTCCTGAAAGTTGGATGACTCAGGCATTGTTCCGAGTCTTGAACAGCAAAGGCATGTTTGGTCTGGCTGATGCTTTTGGTGGTTGTGATGGTGGCTGTGGTTTCAGGGAGGCTGGTAGTAAATTCCCTCAAAGACGTAAGAATGTAATCCACCCCTAACCTTTCTACCTTCAGTCAGGCCCAGTGCCAGTTATAATTCCCAAAGAAGTGTCCAGTGCCACGCTTACTCCCCCACCCCACCCCACCCCACTTCTGACACACACACACATACACCTTTCAAATCTCATGGGAATTCTCTCACCAAAGTTAATTACCCAGATTCTTACTGTAGGGAATGCAGGGAAATGATGTTCCCAAGCTTTGTGTCCCTGCAATACAAGGTGTTGTACAGTGAAATGAAGCATTTCAACTAAGTGGAATAGATGATGATGTGCTTATCTATTAAACTGATTAGAGCCACCTTGGTGAAGACGGGATTGAACTTGAACTTTTGCAATTATTTCTTTCAAAAATAATTTTGAGATAATAATATAATTACATCATTTCCCCCTTTTCTTTTCTCCATGAAAACCTTCATATATATATATATATATATATATATATATATATATATATATATATATATATATATATATATATATATATATATATATATATCCCTCCTTACTCTAATTCAAATTCATGGCCTCTCTTCTTACTAATTACTAATATATATATATATATATATATATATATATCCCTAAATATGTCAGTCTTTATGATGTTATTTGTATGTATGTTTTCAGGGCTGACCACTTGGTATTGGATAATGAACTGGTATGCTCTTCCCTCGGGAAGACTCTCTCTTGCTATCAGCATTCCTTAGTTGCATGTAGTTGTTTGTGTAGGGTTGAGGTATCTTGGTCTTTCCCCATCCACTTTAGCATGTGTATTGTTGTGGTCCTTGTTCAGGTCATGTATTGACAGTCATGTTGGTGAGACTTTATGGGTACAGCTTCTGACATTTAAAGAAGACAGAGTCTCTGTTAGGAGGGTAAATAACAGTAAGAAATATCTGAGACAGTCTCACAGCAAATTCCCTGTTCCTCTGGTACTTACAGTTTTTATGCCCCTACTTCTCCAGTGGTTCTTTAGTCTGTGCAGGAGACGTATTGTAGATATGTCACTTGGACTGGGCTCCACAACTCTGTATTTTGATTGGTTGTAGTGTTCTCTTATGGTCTCCATCTGTTTCCAAGAGAAGCTTTCTAGATGAGGGATCAGGGCTACACTTATCTGTGTGTTTATGGACAAATATTTACAATGTATATGGGGATTATACTGGTTTGGTAAAGTGGCAGTTTTAGGTTCTCCTCCAAGATCCATGA